TATATATATATATATATATTATTTAGCCTCTAATTTAGAAATATATTTTATTGTAATTATCTTTCTTTTACTTTTTACATCCTTTGTATTATAAAATATAAATACTCAATGGAACAACCTCTACATATATTGTGAATTTATCTAATCTTACATGGTATTAGCATAATCTCGATCCTCTCCTAACCCTAATCTACATTGCCTCCATCTCTCCTTTAACTATGGTCGCTGACGATGAATCCTCATTCACTTTGCCTACCCTTCTTCACATGCTCATTATCTTGCTTTTCTCAAACTATCTTTTATTTAGAAATCAAATCTTACATCTTCTCTCTTATCATAAGTTTTTTGGTTATTTCAATGGCTCTATTATATCACACATACCATTAAAATTGCAGATCCAACGGCTCCTAATCTTGCATACCCTACTTGATACGATGTTGATTAACATGTTATAATCCTCATATAGTCTCCCTTTTCGGAAAATCTATGACTTAATCCCTTGGTATCAAATATGCTTATTAAATTTGGCATGCCTTTGAAGTAGCTTACAACCATGAATTTGAGATTTTCTACACCGCTCATCATGTCACCAAACCTAGACCAACCTTATGTGACATTCTTTGTCAATTTGAGGGTCACAAACTATTCCTCGTATCCATTTACAAAACTACCATGCCTCAATCGGCCTTTAGTGTAACTCAAAATTGATCTAACCAACAACCTATAAACGGAGGTCATAGACGAACCTCCAATAGTCACAAAGGTTTCTCGCCCGGTCGAGGTTGGGGTTGACGTCCTCTTCATTGTCAAGCCTGTCACAAAAAGGGCCATTATGCAAATTAGTGCTTCAACCTTGCTTCTTTTGCATTGGAATCAACATCTACTTATGCCAATCTTTCCACTTTCTTTCACTTCCAATACCACTTTAATAAAAAAATTTCTAGATTTGTATGTTAATTATAAGGAAACAAGTCATATGATGTTTTTCACTTCAAATCTTGATAATGCAAAAATCCTATACAGGAATGGATTACGTCACTTTTGGTAATGGAATATCCCTTCCCATATCTCATATCAGTCAAGTGGCCTTTCCAAAAATTATTAAACTTCTAAATGTCCCT